TGTGTGTGTATGTGTGTGTGAGAGAACGAGAGAGCGTGAGGGGGGAGAGATGAAGGGTCAGGGAGGGAGGCGGAGTGTGGTAGGGGGAGGGAGGGGTAGGGTTGAAGAAAGATACACAGAAAGCCGAGTATGGGGCTGAAGGGATTTAGAACTAAGATAAACCAAAATGTGTGCAGATTACTTTCGCCAGGTTTTTCAAACTCTTGATCCAGAAAAGTCTCTGCTGTTGTTGCTGGGATCACACATCAGGGCTTTACTTTAACTTTTTCACACTATGTGTCCTACAATAGAGTCCACCGTTTAAAGGGTAGTAAGTAATTCATCATTTGAATGACTGACTGATCAGTTTTAAAAGCGGTAATGACTCAAATAATAAGTTATTTTTCAGTTTGGGATGTTCATATTTATGTTCTGTGGATGTAGAGTCTGGGTGAGTGGGTGACTCCGACTTGGTTTATGAGACCGACAGATAATGGGAAGAAACTGTTTCTCTGGCGGGAGGTCTTGGTCAATTTTTCAATTACGCTAAAAAAGTAAAATATTTCATTGAATATTGCTTCAAAGTAAAGATTCAAACAATCAATTAAATGTAAACTTTTACAGCTTTTACTATAACAAACTGAGTTTATGACTCCGGCAACTAATACGGCGGGGACCACTAAATGTGTTTATATTTAAACAGTTCAATATTTTTTTTTATGTTTATGTTTTAAGTTCTGATTAATTGCTCTTATACACCACTTGGGAACAAACCTGTTCATACAACGGATTTCACATGACACCAAATGTTTCCATTACAAGTTTGAACTCTTGTGCGTGATATTAGCGTTGATTGGTTTGATATAAAATATCAGAAATGCGAGTTTCACTAATAATTAATGTGCCTACATAAGCCAGAGTCAATCCATCAGTATAACTTTCAATAAGGTCGTCTAGAAAAAACGATCTATATTCTTCCCTCATTATGGGAAATTGTGCTCTCAAGTAAAAGTACACAGTTTTAAACCTACTGGACAACAGCTTATTGGATAATATTTCTGTCAATATTTGATTTGTCCAAAAGAGAACTCATCAAGGATATGTAGTGTTGACATTTCTATTCATCTTCACGATTATTGATTGTGATAACATTTTTGAAGTTATCTGTCAAGGGGAATGTATCCTAATTCAGACATCAAATAAAGCAGTGAGGTTCTCCTGGGAGTTTGGAAACATGGCTCCCAATCACCCCTCTGAAACCCTCCTTTGTGAAGTGGTTGGTGGTAGGTCAAGACCACAAACTACTGCTAAGGGCATTAGAAGAAACAACGGCATAGCTTGGAATCATATGAGTACTCTTGTTACGTCATCTCAATCAGTGACGTTGCACCTCGTGGTCAGTAAAACAGAAGACGTTTGGGTTTTTGACAAGGCTTAGAGTCTGGAGTGTTTGGTTGAACCTTCTGCTAGGTGTTAGTTAGTTAAAAGGCTTGTGAGTCTCATATAAACCTCAAATGGTCAGTTGTGCATTCATATCAATTGTCTGACTGACTAACTAAGGATTCAGTCTGGTTATCCAGTTCTTTGGAAAACTTGTCTCGTCAAGTTTTGCTTAAGAAACGATCACGCTGAAATAATTGAAATGATATGCCCAGTGTGCCTATCTGGTTCTTTATCCCTTTCAGTAGCCTCATTGCACTGCATTGTCTTTTCCTGCTTTGGGTGCGGCATTCAATCTGTTGTCTGTAGTCGTTGGAGAAGCTCTTTGATGCAACCAACTGAAAATCCAGCAAACAAAAAGAACCAGCAGACCAGTAGGACATGTGCAAAAGGTAATCATCGAAGTGATACATGGTAATGGAACAACATTTCATATTATCCAAAATGTTCTCATATTTGTACATATTAAGATGTGCTGGTTGTTTGAAATACAGTTCTGAACTCCAGCAGCAGACTAAACCTCAGCGATGGTCCCAAGGAAAAGACTAAAATGAAAATACCACCAAGCCAAATTGTTTCCGTAGTTTATCTGTGTACAGATATTACTGAACGTTGGAAGCCCAAAAGGGTGAATCATACACAGAACAGTTTTTTTAACGGCTGTGAGCACAATACAAACACTTTGTAATATTAATAATATAAAAATAGTCTAAATTTCCTTTTAAATAACACCTTTGTGAAAACAAAGTAACAAGAAAGGTGGCACATTTTTGCATTTTTGGAGATGATTTTATGTTTTCTGCATGTGTGTGCTGTTGACTGAATGTGTGTAGTTGTGAGTCTGTATGTGTGTGTGTGTGTGTGTGTGTGTGTGTGTGTGTGTGTGTGTGTGTGTGTGTGTGTGTGTGTGTGTGTGTGTGTGTGTGTGTGTGTGTGTGTGAAAAAGAGATACATGAAAGTATGCTGTGTGTGTATATATGTGTGACCTAAGCTGTCCTGTGAGCGGCGCCACTGAGGCGCTTCTGACTAAACCAACTGGACATTAATTACAGACATCTTTTTTCTAATCAAAACAAGTAGCAAGATACACACACTCTTCAGACACAAACATGTTATATAAAACTTACTTCGATATAGATATTACTTTGACTTGGAGAGGGCTGTTCACCCTTTCATGGTATGAATGGACCATCACAGCCTGGAGGACGTCCACATGAGGTTAAACTCTCATCAAGCTCTGTGGTCGACATTGTCCCTGGTCCCATATTTCCCTGGACTTTGTAAAAGGTCGGCCACCCTCTCAAGGAAGCACTGTTACGGTGGTCTCCAAAGTTAAAAACAAAAAAGTCTGATTACGTCAAATCCATCCATACATGCTTCCTATCCAGCGGTAAGTTACACAGCATGACGTCTCTGAAAAAGGCTAATACTGATTAATATCTGGCAAAGAGTCCTTGTGCACACCTATATCCTCACGCGGCATTGTCAGTGTGTGCAAGTCCGTAGCAGCATGGTGCTGAGGCGCCCTCTTTTTTCACTTTGTCACATCGGATTTGCTAAAACAACTGTGAAAACACAACTGTTCTCTCTGACTGTCTCATCTCCTTTGTTCTCTGCTCTGCTCCGCTCCCAACCACTCTGTGCAAGCTGGGACAAATGGCTGCTTTGGGACGCTGTATGCATGTGTATGTGTCTATGGGGAAGAGGGAGGGTGGGTGTCTCATTGTGTTACGTGTGATAACTGCTTTGACAGCAGAAATGTTTGTGTGACAAGTGCTCCGTGGTTGGAGTCCATTAGCTGCCTCTTTTGAGTCCCCTTGGCGGGTTATCACTCTCACACACAAACACACACACACACGTAAATGCATACACTTAAACACTCACACACATATTCACTGCACAAACAAAGACAGCTTGCCATACCACTCTTGGTGCTTGTGTCCTAGCAACATGTGTCTCAGGACATTACTCTTGTGCGTACGTGTCTGAGTGTGTGTGTCATGTCCTACAGCACTCGTGTGAGGAAGAATAAACTGTTTCAGTGGCTGGACTTTGGAATAATAACAATATATGTATGTATTGATACATAGATAGATATTCAACATATGACAATTAAATAATGCATGAATGTTGTATGTGTTGTGGGGAACCGCACCAAAACAACAAAAATCTTTCAAAAAAGCCAAACTACAACGAGCTATAAGTAAGTGCCATAGTAAGTGCTCGTACCTAGTGAAGGTATAGTCAGAAGAGGTGTTCTATTGAATGTAAACAGTGAATCACTAAATTAGCACCCATGCACCCCACAAACTGACTATATGTACTCACACATGAACTAATAACAGTAAGAACGAGAACACCTTGAAACACTGGAGTAGCAAGTGGCTTTTTTCCTGTAGTCACTGAAAAACTGACAAAATAAAACATTTAGAAACACTGTCTCTGTTAAAAATGAAAAAGACTTAAGGAAGTGGTAAACATAAGTATGAACGGAGACTGTGTTGGAGGAAGGACAGAGAGAGTTTTCAAAAGGGACAAAGAGTACAAAGATGACAAAACAAGAAGTGGCCGCAGGAGAGAGGGTTGTTAGCTCTGCCTTATTGTTTTGGAAGAGAGCTTAACTCATAAGAGACCTATATCAGTAGATTGTTGGTTTTAAAGTAAACGTCTGTCTTTAACAAAGATGCTTTTTCCGCTTGTTTCAATATTAGCCTTTTTTGGCCATACTGTTAGCTAGCTAGCTTATGTCGCAGAACTAGCTCTGCCAAGATTGGTGACCTAATATAACGAAACAGACCAAGGGAAACATTATCTAAGATATCAACACTTTAATGATCGTGAAAAACATAAATATGTTGAATTGGTATGAGAAGCGCAATGTTACTTGGAGAGACGATGAGTAATGAGCAATGAGTAACTTCCTGCATTGAACTCCACATGAAATGTGCTCAGGATCACAATCTGGTCACTCAAAAAGGATTTTTATGTAATGAACAGTTTGAATAATAATAATATTCTATCATCATCACAGACATATTAACCTACAATAGACTTAGATTTTGTATAAAGATGTGCATTCCCACTACTTCATAAAAAATACTGTATCATGCTGTTAAATTACACTAGTTATTTTTAATTTACAACATTAACTGTTGAACTACGGCCTTGGTTGTTAATTTACACATTTATGTTACAATTATGAAATACTGTGACAACTGTAGTGTTGTATGGTTTTATAGGGGGCCATGATTGCAGCTTGTGTTTACTGAAGTTGTACAACCACAGTTATGCTATTCTTTGAAATCAAGTCATACACTGATCTGAAAAGGTTTTGAGCGTTGTCATACGTTGCACAAAAGGGTAAACTACAGACAGCATGGGAGGAAAGGTTGATCAGTATTACTTGAGGCTTACTTTGAAGAGTATCAAGTATTCTATTGTGCCAGCCTAGAAAGAGGCGAAGGGAATTTTTTTCACACAACAGTAACAGGACTTACGGGACTGGAAATTACAATAGCAACCACAGGACCAGAATCAGATGCAGATTATTAATAACAGCAAAACAAGAAGGACACAGGACGGCAGGCTTACATTTAATGTTGATCTCCGTGGAATGACACGGGACGGCTTTAAACTGGCAGGAACAGATAAGTATCAGAGTTGAGAAATCTGTAACTGGTCTTGTAAGACTGGTACCCACATACAGGGGTCAGGGCAGTGGTGAACATTGGTTAAATTTGTGACACATGAAATGTCGGGTGGATCATCATGGTCTAGGGGAGTGACAGATGGACCGTAGAAGTGTTGATAATGGCACGGATCTCAAAGGAGCCAATGAATTGGGGCGACATCTACTGGGATATGGTCCTTAGTGGGATGTCCGTGGTAGAGAGTCCGACCCTTTGAACGACCTGGCAACGCGGGGGAAGAAATGCGGCGGCATCGGAGGCGGACCGTGTCTCCTTCCACACCTCCCTACAGCGGCAGAGATGGACTGAGGCTATGGCTATCTCCTCCTTTGGGGCAGGGAACAGAGGCGTCTGGTTAGCACAGGGAGACCTCGAATGTTTTATGACTGGTAGTAGATGAGGTATTGGAGTTGTGGCCATATTCCACCAAGGACAGATGAGTACTACAGGTGGACGGGTTTAATGCTTACAAGCAGTGGAGTCTTCCAGCTCCTGGTGGGGTCTTTGTCTGTCCATTAGGTTGGGGGTTGAAGCCGGAAGACAGGATAGTTGCACCAAGGTCCCGACCGAAATGCTTTCCAGAACCTGGGATACGAACTGCGGGCCGCAATGTCTGTCCACAGGAATCCCATGTCGGCGGAACACCTAGCTGACCATGATGTAAGCCGTTTCCTTGGCTAAGGGGAGCCTGGGCAGCACGAAGTGAGCCACCTTGGAGAAGCAGTAGACCATCGTAAAAATGACAGTGTTTCCTTGAGAGGGTGCCGTTAGTGTGTGTGCAGACCTGCTCCAGGAACAATGTGGACCACCGAGACTGATGAGAATTTAACCTAGTAAGTAAGGATAGTAAGCACAGGGGTGGCAATACAGCAATTAGCCGTGAAAGCATACTAACCTTGTGTCTCTCATGTTTCATGTGCAGTATCAGTGCAGAGGCGCTGCCTCCTTGGTGCAAATCGCTACATTTCCCTTGGACCAGTGCTGTACTTGTATCACCGCTGTCTGCCGTTTAGCATGGTCCCCCTTTTTCAAAATGGGCCTAACCTTGGGGGACTTTTTTAACCCCCCCCCCCACACCCCTCTAAAAATATGTGCACAAACACACACAGAAACGCACTTTTCCAAACCAGGGGATTGAATAATTGATGGACATTCTTCTGATGCATTTGTTAAGCTGCACAAGTCAGCGAGGGACTGTCAGAACGTGTGTGTGTGTGTGTCATATTCAGTATGTCTTTCAAAATCCTCCTACCCCCCATCATCACAGAAAACATAGACTGTCCCCTCCGACATTCATCACAAACTCCATATAGTGTTTTGCCCCCCTATTTGCTCTATATGTCTGTCTCTGTTGTTTGGCTCTCCCAGAGACCCAGTACTGACACGCACACAAACCGTTTCTGATGTGAAACATTGGACTTGACGAGCTTTTAGACCTCTCACGCTCACAGTAAAGGGAATAGAGTGTGGAAAGCTTTGGGGGGGGCATGCAAGTTTAAACAGACAATAAGAAGAAGGGGAGAATAGTTTGTTTGATAGAGATGTTGATGGATGAAATGTAGAAAACAGGCAGAGGAGCTTGAATTCACGTTGTGTATTTTCAAGTCAAATGTCTTTTGCCTGTCATGGCAGACCATGTGCACATTGGCACAGCATCTTTTCTGTATTGTTTGTGATAAAAGAAAAAAGGGATATCACCCTTTTAAAGACACAGCAGATCAATAAATCACAGACTAAAATGGATTTGAATTCAGTTCATAAAAATGTAAAGTTAGGTATGTAATCAGACTTTGTCAGGTGTTAGTTTTAAGAGGAGTGGTAAGAAGGAAATTGCAGGAAACATCTCCTTTTCATTCCAAGCGAGCGGCAGGTAAAATGACAACAGAAAGACAACAAGAGGCGATGGCAATAACACACATTCATCAAAACTAGAGGAAGGATGAGGCTATTCATTCTAGAGGCCACAAAGAGAAATATCATCAATATTTGACATTGTTTTATGGAGAAGCCACTTGATTTTGTCCAGGTCCTGTGCGGGTGACCAACAACAATCAATTACCATTGACAAGATTTGTGTGCATGGAAGGCCTTCGCACTTTGTTTTCACTCTGCCCTGCCCCTCTGTGAAGTTGCCTCCTCAGAGATCACAAACCAAGGCCTGACGGAGTGCTCCATCTTCCCTGCGACCGCTTGGCATCATTACTCTGACTAATTACGTGGCGTGATAGTTGTGTAATTCAAAGAGGTATAACGGGCCTGCTGCTGTCCTGTACGGATGAGGCCACTGTAATGTTGAGCTGCTTCATATGGAGGATTGATTAAAAAATCTAAATAAATTGTAGTGCTAAAGTAAAAGTCTATCTGAATGACAATAAAATCTTGGGCCGGGGAAACCAGGAAAACTGTACAAAGATTGTGAGCATATGACCATCATGCAGCGTCTAGCATAAAAAGCGCTACATTCCTATCCAATACCTCCTTACTTTTTTCCATGTTGTCACAGGATGTAGATCAGGCGGTGTGAAATTACCAATAACTCTCGGGGATATTGGGCTGGCAAATGTCATGACTATACGACACAGTTATTGCTACGGTTTATGGAAGGGAAAAGGTTATTGACAATCGTGGGGATGTTTAGGATCGCAGTTCTGTCTTAGTTCAAAGATTTGCAGGCGTTCCTAGTCAGCAACGTGCAGAGACCTTTATGGGTCAGTAGGGCTCCTGCTCCCTGCCGAGGATTTTTCCGTGAAGGCATTTGCTCATATTGTAAGGGTAATGATGACACATGTACACACGTTTTCCTTTAACCAAAATAAATACATAAATCAGCGTGTCTCAATCTACCAACACAAATAATACTCAATAGCATGACCTTGTGTCGACAAGGTGACTAAAGTAAACGAGATTAAAGTAAAAGAGTTTACTTAACATCAGTTATCGGAACATAAGTAAACAGTCCACCATAGAGTATATAGAATATAGACAGTGTTCAAGAAACTGAAAGAAAGATGCACAGACTAAGAATAAGAATAAATACACAATGACAAGAAAGTGATAACGAGGGACGGGCGAAATATACAGAGCCAGCAAGCAACATATCACATCTAAATATCTAGATCAGTTTCTATCAATGGTTCTCTACTTTATTATTTCTATAAGTAAATTGTGTTTTTGAAATACCTCTGGGAGTATTGCTGTGGCATTGGTTTCAACATCCTTGAAATGAATAAAGCTCCTGTCAGGACAGTTTTAAAAGTGTCTGGTAAGTTTTCACCATTATGTATACTAATGCAACACCTATGACATTCATTAGCTAATCAAGGTAATGACTTTTACTCATGAAAAGCTTAAGTGCTTGTTTTCATTCAGCTTGAAATAATACTTCTAAGTCCTCTGAGTCCTCTGTCACTGTTGTTCTCAGAGGATAATGTGTAGCTGTTCATTGTGCTTACGGGTCACCTCAACATTGTTGCTGAACCACGAGGCCATTTGTCTCTTGATTGAAGGCACGAGTTTATTTGATCACCCACCGCTGCCACCTCTCAAAATTTCTGAAAAGTGATGCATTGATGCATGGTGCATTGAAGAAATGAGTGTAATGTTAATAATGTAGTTTTCTAATATTCAACTCCAAAGAGGGGAGCAAAATTCCGATTTCGTAGGGTTATTTCCTATAATATTCTTTAAATGTGTAGCTCTTGGGATGTTTTTATGATATTAAAGGCTTGATCAGTAAAAGCCTTGAGGATTTTATTCTACATACTACTGATGTACAACTGTAAAAAACAACCATACTCAACTTAATTGTTAACCCTTTGCTCCTCATAACATTATTAGGAAAAACTGAACTTGATTATAGTATGTATATAATATAATCATAGATGTCCATTAGAATGTTTGTTGTTTTGCATACGTAAAACTAAAATAGAAAAAGAATATGTAGAAATGTGTGTGCTGCGTTGTGGCTTCTTCAAATGGACTTACAGAGTGACCTGATAGTGTGTGATACATAACAAACATTCAACTTAATTATAAAAAATGTATTTATTTCAAGTGCACATGCTGCAACCCCATGACCTATGAAACAACAAGTAAGCCTCTTAACTGAATATTGGAATGATTGAAACACCTGTGAGGAATAATGACCAGAAAAGGCTCTTTTGGGGGTCTTCAGGGACAACTTTAATTCCTATTAATAAGCCCAACAAATCAAAGAATGAGCAATCCTTGTTATATGGGACATGGCAGTAGTGTCGACTGTCTCAAACAAATGGCATTGCACAGTTTTAGTTTTAGTTTACTGCTTTTAAATAACGCAACACACACAATTTTTGTTTTTGTTCATAAAAGTGTAAAAATGTATTTTATTATACTATTTCGAACAAAATTGAGAGTGAGATAGTGAGTGGGAGATCTCAAAAGTATCATCTTACAATAAAGACTTGGAGACTGCTCTCCGTTGGAAATGTGTAGGACACTTCCAGCTGAACAACAGTTAGTAGTACGATCAAGCCAACAGGATCAGAAATCGTGTGTACCGTCTTGTAGAACCTGTGCATCATAATTCCCACTTTCATCACTTTCCATTGAATAAAACGAGCCAATCGAGCCACACTGAAGCAAAAAGCCACTCCCCCAATGGTTCACTACTTCCTGTCCTTGATATGCAAAATTATGGAGCAGCGCACTACAAAATATCATCAAATCACACTCTTCACAGGGAAACCCATAGGTTTAATACAGTGTTCTATGTAGCGTTGGTATCGTTTTTTTAAATGAAGCACCACAAAATACAATAAAGACTACAATCAAAGGCTATTCTGTGCATCATTAGTTTTTGTCGAACAAGTGGACCAACTTCCTTAACACACTTTGAAAAAGGTGATTTCACCAGGGGAGGCAGGTGCACAAACAAAAGCGAGCCTCCAGCCTGCCGGGCTTTTTCCCTCTGTGGATTATGCCGCACTTAAAGCTCGGCACATTCATCGTGGGACTGTCGACTGTGACCCGCAGTAATACCGGATGTGTAGAGAATATTTTTTTGCATCGCTCCATAACTCACTCATAATGGCGGCATGAACAGGCGGTCACTTCAGACTGTTGAGGCTGTAGTAATGTGGCGCGGGTAACACCGGTCCCCTCTTGAGTGCCGCAGCACTAGCAGGTGATTTGTAGCTCGGGGAGACTAATGAAGTGGTCGCTCTGCCACCCTGCTTCTTTTGCAAGATCAATTCGGCGTCAGGGTGCGTACGGCGGCCGTGCTTTATGAATGATGGAAACCTCCTTAGGCCATCCATATACCTGAATCCCCGCCATCGCCATGCAGCACCCCGCCGCCCCCTTTCTCCAGGAGGCAGGGACTCAGCAATCTTTCTTGTTTGCAGAAAAATACATTACCATCAGCACTACGGCCTTTGCCCAGCAGCACATACACATTATCTCACACAAAACGCACACACACACACTGCATAGCTTAACTCTATGGCTGCTAAAGGAAACATTGTTTACCATTGTTTGTTTTGCATTCGGTGAGTTATCATAATAAATGCGGAGGATTTGATTGACATGACGAGAGGCTATCTGTCCTCTATAACATCTTCTGAAGAAAACAAAAAAAGTGCTCAAAAAGGCAGAAAAAGGGCCAAGCTTTAAAACTGATGTGAATAATGCAGTAGATGTTTTAGTCAGCGGATGATAATGAAAATGAGCTAAAGCAGGTTAGTCTGGATAGGCCTTTGATCCCATCCAGTCTGGCTTTTAAAGCATCTGCTTCCGTAATGAGGAACAGTTTACCATAGCCCATCCAGATGCAGGAAATTAATTCAAAAGTTAATGGTGTATTTGTCCCGATTATTAAGAGCTGCGCCTCGTGCTTTATGTGACATCATTGATCCTTGCCATAAAACAGGCTGCGCTGAAGGAAAGGGGAAAAAAAGTATTATTCGTAAGTTAGAACAATTATCCTAAAATACCCATGGAGTTAATTATGTCTGCTTTAGATGGAGGTACGTGCAGCAGTGGTCCTTTTTAATGTGTGAGATGAGATGAGTGAGAATGGGCTGCCAGTGCACATGGGGTTAATCTTTGAGTGTCAATAAGAAAAATCTGTCAGGGGTGTTTTCATATTCCAAGATCACAGTGCAGCTCATCTAAAGGCGTCAGTGGCAATTTGTGCGCGGCCATTCATATATAAAGTTGTCACGATCCCAGGCCTCAAGCCGGAAGGTTACAAAAGGAAAGTGGAACGACAATGAACGCTTATCGGAGCTTTCTGGAGGCGATGGAATTAAATTCCTCCCTATTCATTTCTCGCTTAGATTAAAATATGAAGAAAAATACGGATGAAGGGGAGGAGGGAGGAGAATTGAGACAACAGATTCTAAGTAAGAGAGGGCGCCTTTTACTGTTGATCTTGACTTTCAGATTGGTTGGCTCACGCTCCCTGTAAATCAGCAACTACATGGCAGTCATCTTCCTGTATGGTAATCTGGGTGTCGGCTGAGAAAGAGGTGTAACAAAATAGGTGGCAGTGAAGGAAGGCAGAGCACGGTTGTCCAATTGCACCCTGCTGATAGCTTCCCAAGTTCCCTCGGCATCTCTCACCTTCTCCTTATCCCCTTTTCTCTGTTGGCCTGGAGGAGATGAGCAGGGGGAGTGTTTAATGTTCCCTCTGATGCCACAACGGAATGAGCTGAGTTTGGATCCTGATACTGTGAAATGAGCTATACGCCGATGATACTGTGGCTTGAAACACTTTTTCGCTTGGTGAAACTATCTTTCTTGTGATATCAACAACAGAACTGTTGATTAATTAAAGAATAAGCTTGTACAAACCTCCCCTGAAACCCAATAGTTGGACATTTGATTTTGTGATGATCGTAACAATGCTTCATCAATAGTCTTGATTATTTCTAAAGTGCATGAGTTTGTGGGTGACCATGGCGCATGGAGTAGAGAGGGTGTGGCAGGAACTGCAGGGTTGGCAGTTCGAACCCCGGCTGCTCCCTGGGTGCCTTCACAGCAGCACACTGCTCACACTGTGTGGGACGGGTTAAATGCAGAGAACAATTTACTGTATATGTGAAATAATACTTGACAATAAAAACGCCTTCTATTTCTAATTATAGCAGATTAATTCAAATCAAGTTCAAAGGGCTCCAGTAATAGAAAATGTCCAGAACATGACAACAACTTGTTTGACATGATATAGTTTCTTATCTTACCGTATAAGCATTTAGGATAAATGTAATAAATTATTTGCTTTTTCTCAGAACATAAGAGTAACAGTGAAGATGAAAGAGTCTCTCCATTAATGATTGAAAGCTTTGTTTTTGCTGTCTAGTTTCCACTTTTATGTGCAAACGGCAGTTGAAATGACTTCTGTCTGACTAACTTTTTATCTCAGATTATAATCTGTCATCTCGTTTCTCCCCTGTGTGACCATATCTCATCTGACTCAAACTGAAGTGCTTAGTGCAATGCACAGATTTCATTGGCTGATTAGCAGCATGTGAGAGGATTTACAATGCATTCAATCCACGTGGGAGTTTCCTCGGCCTCTAAACCAGTGCTGTAAAGCAGCGGCCTCCAATCTTGTTTTCCTGTTAAACAATATTTAAGGGATCACTGCTGTAAAGGCTTGAAAAGCTGCACGATTTAAAATGTAATAGTTCTCCATCTTTTATCAGTTATTGGTCCAGCCAAAAAGTCATTATTTAGTGAAGCCGGCGTGTGTTGAAAATTTTTTACCACTTTTAAAAATAGAAAACATATATGCATCTAATAAACTATTTCTATACCCAGCAGGAGCCTCAAAAATGTAAGTCCAATTTCCGGTCTTCTTTCTGCTTTATTTTGGTCGCTACTAAGTCCTGAAGGTCATATCTAATTTGTTAGCTAATTAATTCTTAATTATGTTGTCTGTCCATTGATAATCACTGGGCAATCGGTGAATAAAGGTTTCATTTGAGCTATTAGAATGAAACCATGCTGATATTATGTCTTTAGAAAACAAACAATGAGCTTAAAGACACTGAAATGGTTTGTAGAGCTGGTGGGAACTGCACTTGGGCAACACTTCTTGGTGGGTTTGTCGCAGTGAGAGAAACCTTTTAATTGCACATTGTTATTGGATTGTTTTTTAAATAACACATATATTATGGACATATTATGAAAATGAAAATGCATGCCTACCGACCCAAAAAAACAACTTCTGTGATTTGTTATGGTTCTTGTATGTCGGAAACGTCATGCTTGAGTGACTGGGAATGAGCTTCCTTATCATTCTCTCATCACAATGAAATGGGAGTCTCTCTTACATGCTGGCACATTAGCATTAAAGGAACAGGCACGCAAAACAGGTCACTCTGTGCAGGGCTTTTTTAGACAGTGTAAAAAGGGTGCTGTTTTAAATTATCCTTGTGGTATTTTGACCAAAATATTTTACAGACATTTCATTAACACCCCAAGGAACCATATCAACTGAATAGGCATACGATGGGTCCTCAAATTAATTATTATTTAAGTATGATCAATTGTGTTTTAATGACCTGATGCACCAAATTGTTTGTAAACCATCTTAAAAGATTCATTGGAAAATATTTTTTTTTAACTGGCAGGTTATTTGTATGGACCATCTGCCAAACATGCCGAAACTAAAGCCTGTTATTTTCTTCCAATAGTGAGAAGGATTTTCTTGTTATTATCTGTTCCTCTATCAATGAAGAAACACCTTCCAGTTCTGGAATGTCTGATGATACCATAGCATGTAGGTTAACCTCTTTTAGATCCACCATTGTTGTTCAGAGCAGACTGTCTCCTCTCAGACGTCACTCGCTTGTGACTCTTTATCATTTCCATATGAAGAATGGTATGTCAAAGTCACAACATTTAATACAAAAGTTTTTGCTATTTTTTACTTTTTTTCCCCTGAATGGACCCACAGTTATGTTAATTATCACAGGTATTACAGTTTCATAACATTTGTGCGGAACAGTCTTTATTCTAAACAGACTGACACAAACGATTTTCTTCCCCTGCCACACACACAGACACAAAACACACTGCAACACACACATGAACCACAGCTGACTGTAACCACACACACTTCCTTACAGAGCAACGGGGGATGAGATGGACCAAGAGATAAAGGGTCTATGCAGCACAGAACAACGTCGGCAGAAGCAGCGGTAGTGAAGCCGCCGCTTTGTTTCCCTTGAGTGTTCTACATTTATTTTTCCCTTATATATTATTCAAGTTGAAATAATTAATTCAGGATATCAAATCAAGATGTAGGAAATCAATCAGGGGTCTCTTTTTTTCAATCTGCCTATCATTACTGCGAACCCCCGGTCCTGGCTGAGCCTGTAGCAGAGTTGGCCTGGACTTCTATGAGGACACACTGAAACACTTACGTGGCATCCCGTCCGCCGGAGAAGATGACTGCTCTGCTTCGCACGGCCATGCTGAAGTGTTTAGTCTGCATCCGATTAGGTGGTTGGAATTATTTTTGTTTAGCACTGATATAAAAATGAACCACATGGCAGGTTGGGGCATCTAATGGTACAATTTGGCAATGGCTATTTTTTCCCCATTGATCATTGTTTTTAAAGGGAAATTCAGGGATATCTGTTGATGTGTTCTGCTGCCTCGTTATAAGTTTGACAGAGAAAAATGAGATGCCTCTGAATGCATTCAAACCTTATTGTACCAACGGACACAAAAGGAAAAAGAGCAGAAACATACGTATCCTCTTAGGGACTAACTTGAAAAAGGAAAACAAAAAGGATCTGATGCGTCTGTGAAAGATGAAGCAGCGTGTAGCTGGAGCAAAGAGTAAGCAAGAACAGATGTTATTAAAAGCAGCGAGCAGACATGGACACATGCATATTATCATCCAGTTTGAACCCCCGTCCTTGTCGCCCCGGCTGCTGGCACCACGGCCGCCGACTTTATGGGAAAAGCCGCTCGGATCCCACTGGGCTCTGTGGGAATCAATAACCCCGGTCAAATGACGCCCAACCGGCAAGATTCATCTCTTCCCCTTTTAGCCGGATACTTTTAGCTCACATTTGGCGAAGTGATGACTCTCACCATCTCCAGGGCAGACGCGATAAAGTCGTAGTAAAAACGTCACTCAAAGAGCGGTGAATGTTGGGGTGGAGGGTTTGCGAACAGGTAGTAAGTCGTGTGCGTGTATGAGTAGCAGTGCCGATGGGTGGAGGGGCCAATTTATGGAAGGAAATGTATCTGTATTAGAGCCGCCGTGAAGCCCAGATCTCCATCTCAGTGATAATTCGCGGTTGTTAAAGTGACACAGTATTGGTAGGCTGTTCGAGGCGAGGAATGTGGGAGCCAGACCTGACAATTAGAGACCAGTATATCACACACACTCTCAAAGGAAGGATGGGAGAGGTCAGGACACTCTGGGGACGCATTTAAACGTGCATGTGTGTGGAGGCCCGGGAGGCGGGGGGTTGTGGGAGGGGGGGCACGTTGTTGTACATAGCATAAATGCAAACGTACAGACAGCCTTCGGAGGGAGAGGTCTGTACATATCAAAGCAGGTAACACGTGGCTCTGGTTTACCACAGCAAAGGGAACAAAACACTTCTGAGGTTTAGGTGCATAATAGGAGTTGATTTTATTTCCCCGCTTGCTGCTCATTTCTCAATCATGCGACGAAAATGTGACTGATAGAAAAAGAAGACCTCTCCTTGTGCACGTCTGTGCTTTGTGTATTCGCATCGGGCTCATCTGAACCATGTTTTACATCATTAACTAATCACTTCCTCTAACACGTTGCCTAAGAGTAATATGATTTGATTGGACAACAGGAGTGGGGGGGGGGGTTAGCTCTGTACAAGCGCATTATAAGATTTCCCTGCAGGAAAAAAAAAAATTCCATCTCCATTACACCCAAAAAACCTGCGTAGGGTCACTGTCTTTGTTTTGTCATTGAGCATCATAAGACAACATAAGAGTTGATACACGTGGATACAAACGGGAATAATTGTTGTAATTAAGGACCCTGGAGTTTTACCCACAGACATCTAACACACCTCTGAGGCCAATTCTGCCAGCGACTTCTGGTATCTATCTGACATCTGGTATCTAGCTGATGCTCATGCTTTCAAAACTAGCATTTTAAGAGCCCGTATAGTTTCTATTGTGGCAAAAACACTGTACCAGTGTGTTTGTGTGTGTGTGTTGGACCTTGTAAATTCTACCATTGGTGTGTATTGTTTTCTTCTCACATCCACGAACCCCCGGCCCCACCAGTCCTCTGTGACACACACACACACACACACACACACACCTGTCCAAAGTGTCTGAACTTATTGCATGTAAGATAGCTGGAGCCATTAGCTTCCTATGACCTTTTACCACTCTCTCTCTGCTGTCACATTCACATTCCGCCTCTTCTGCCTGTGTGTGCGTGTAAGAGTGTGTTAAAGTGTGTATTTATATGATAAAGAAAGAAACTAAACCGCTTGTGGATGTGTGCAGGTATACACTGTCTGTGTGCAGTGAGTTAAATGTTGTTGTAGGTACAAAACCGTGCACACGAACACACACCTCCCACACAGACACACACATATGCAGGCAAGTATTTGCAGTGGCTTTCCCCTTTCTTTTATTTGCTGTAATTGGAAAATAATTCAGGCGACGTCAGGAGGAATCGATAAAGAATTAATGAAAGGAGAGGGGAAGTCATTAAAGGCAATAAAGAGGGAGAGGTTATGATGAAGATGGCATCATGGAGAGACACAGAGGAGACAGGCGGCTCTGCTGCCGCTGCATGTGTGTGTGTGTGTGTGTGTGTGTGTGTGTGTGCGTCTGAGAGATGTTGCAGAAGAGGCTGCAGATGTAAAAAGCAATAAAAGCTAAATCAAACATATTATTGTTGTCAGATTGTCTTTCTAAAAACTAAAGCAAAATGAAGCTCCTTGGAGGTAAAAAAGATTCCAGTTCAAAGTTACACTCCTATGTATTTTTAACTCAATTTCAATATGCAGATCTTAATACGATGTGCGTAAGACGACTTTCATTGTTATGTCCTTCCATAAAAATACAGTCCTCTTCTGCCGCGTAGACAGCCATCATCTCAGCCAGCGTCTCAGTCAGTCATTCAAGATGGTAATTATGCGACACTGTGGCGCTAAAATACCTCCGGTGCCTTAATAGGATCCGAGCCATCGAGATCCAACCTCAAGACTCCTCCATCCCGGGCCCCTACCACTCATCTGAGCGCCGTAAAGCTGCCACAGGAAACAATACGGCCTCTTTCCTCACGGCCGAGGTTAATGGCAAATGGGACTGTGGCCGCCGGCAATATTGTTGGATAAATGATTATTGATTAGGTAAAGGTTGAGCTAATCATTAGGCTTCATCCATTTTACAGACTCTCTCCGTGACCTTTCCTGCCCGGCCCTGCTGGATCACCAGGATTTCTCCATACGAGGATTTTGATCACCTTCGGACATGAGTGCCGGGGAGGAGGGAGAGAAGAGGGTGGGAGGAGGAAGAGTGGAAAAACGAGAGCCGATTAGTGAAAGGGGGCTGGGAAGGACCAATGGAGGAGACCAGGACATGTGTGTAGGTGTATGTGTGTGTGTGTGTGTGTCTGCATGGGTGCGTGAATATAAAACTGATACAGGAGATGAAGTCACCCCTTAATTTCTCCACCTGATAAATAAAAGTGCTGCTTTTTGATATATTTTTTTCTTTGCCATTGTTATTTGTAAATTATTATTTTTAACTTCCAAAACCCAGATTTACAATTGCGTGGCATCGTCAAACTAGTTTTAGCTGATGGGTCACATAGAGCCCATTAAAGTCTGAAGAGGAGTGCACTAGTTAAACCATTAAATAAAAAGCTATTATTGACTATTATTATTGAAATGTTTCCCTTTCTTGTTATAAGAAAACTGAAAGAAATGATGATGAACATTCCTGATAGAATAGTGCTTTACCTCTCTTATTTGCAAGAACATTTCTCTGAATTCAATCAATAACTGTGAGTAGACAAAAATTGCTTTGCAGCAGCTGAATTAAATAATCCAGGCTTTTTATTTACTTATACAGATGTGGGGTTTAGAAAGATGCTGGCGTCTTATGGCATGTTGCATGTCATATACAGATGTAACACTCAATTCTATTCAGCGAATACAGGTAAACCTTCATTTGTCAAATACACAAGCTATTGCTATTGCATTTGGCAAAAAATGAATCCTTCACTACTTCACTATGAATGCCCATGATGCATCATATAGAACATATTGCTTATGGATGACGGGACCGCAATGGGCATTACGTATAGTTTGGAGGAGTTTGGTGTTTTTTTGATGAAAGAACACAGCTTTATGAAAAAACTAAAAATGTAATAAAAGACATGCAACCTCCAACAGGTCATTTATACATAATTTAGAATTATTTGAATTGTTTTTCATTTTTGATGCTCACATATATATGTATCATATATGTGTATTTATGTATATATATATATATATATATATATATATATATATATATACATATATACACGTATATATATATAATAACAAATACTATTCTTAAATAATTTAATTAAATAAATAATCAATTTGTAATAATACGTAATAGGCCCAGAATGTAAGTTTTAACATGAAAATATATATTAGTTGAACTCAAACACAAATATCTGTTAAAGTAATGTACAAGTTGTGATACAGGATTTGATCTTCCCCCCAAGCTCCTCAATAGCAGCAATATGCTGTTACGGTGTTTTATATGGAGCTCAGGGTGTGTGCTCTATAAGTATCAAGCAGAGCGGATGCTTTACATCCGCTCTGAAACGCAGAAATGGTGACAAGGAAATGCCTTTGCTCCTAACAGCTCTATTTATTGAATTGTAGCAAATATTCCTGGCAGCGGGGACTCTAACCAAACCCAGACTGGAGCGCACATCTGCACCCAATCAAACCCCTTCTGTTCCATTTACTCACAAAGTCCAGCACTGGGAAACACAATGTTTATTTGAAGTAACACTTAGGTCTCAACTACTGCATTGTAATACCTTAGCATTTTCATGGCTACATGCAGAACATGTTTTTTTTCTTCTTTTTTTTCTTTTGCTGCAATAACTGGAAACCATATGAATGTAAACATTTTCTCCCGTCTAATTAACTTGTAGTGTGCCATTCAATTTATTCAAGAGGATATGACGTTGCTCTAAAAAACTTTATCTAAGAAAGCATCTTCATAAACACTTCATTTGTGGTGTTGTCATCGGTTGGAAAAGGGAGTACACGCAAACAATCACTACACCCTTTCTGCATACACAACAGTGCTGCATGTGGAAGACAAATTACACACTGCATATAAAATCTTCACCTTTTTTATCGATGTTCTTTCTAATGATTTTACAAGACACAGTAAAAAACGTTTCCTTTTTTTTGACTGCACATTTGAGTTTGACTTGTCAAGCTAACGTGCCTGGTGTCCCACTTGGTAATGAGCACAGTCCTCTGCAAGCAGGACTCAGCAGACGGGGACCATATAAGTAAGTCATGCAGTATAACAACACATACATTATCCTGCAAACACATGCTCGTGGGCACATTTAAAGACGCACAGTAGAGTGAAATTATGCAGGTACTGAATATCCACCAAGGACTACAAATAAACGGCGACAAGCCCACACACACGTGTGCCGTTATGTTACTGTTAAACGTGCACATGACCCGCGACCGCAAATAGTTAAACGAGCGCTTGTACGGAAAGTGTGGGCAATTGATTAAACACACAAACACGCACACCGAGAAGTTATTCTTTATTGTTTCTTCAAATTAATTTACTTCAATGCGTCTTTAGTAGTGTTTGTATTCTGTTTTTCGAAATGTTTAATTAATTCTTGATTATCTGCCCACAGTTTCTTTACCCCAATTCTTTCAACATATTATGATTATGATGGTTTTCTCCAAATAGAGTTGCAACGTGTCATAATGTTACTCAATGAAACATCTGTTCGTTAGCCATTAGCTCTGTTATTTAGCCAAGCAGGACGTCGCTGTCAGCTGGATGCTAACTGCTAAAGTCAACTAGCTCTTGATTTGTTGTTCCCAGTGTAGCACTATCGGCGGATTTCTCCACCAACCTTGGGATGGCAGGACATTTTTTGTACCTTCAGTACGTGCGGTGCTGTAGTGCTTTCACAATTTTTGGCATCAACTCTGTGCCGAATAATTGTGATAACCAGCGATGCTTATAATAGCAGATTGTTAGGGACAGACACAATAAACGATATGATTAAATAGCATTAGAGTAAAAGATGATGGAAAATGTCTCCAAATAGTCTTAATGGTCTAATTCCTGCTGATGCTTTCTCCCTTTGCTATATGTTCAATTTTTTTTTAAACTGCCCTTTTCTGCTGTCTTTTTGCTTCTCTTTTGGTCTTTTTTCTGTTCATAAATGTACATCTATAGTTGTCTAGCCAGGCATGCTTGGTTCATCACTGCCAGTGTCTTGGCTCTGATTGTAGTTATTCTGTGTGTGAGCAGAAGTTGATGAGTTTAAACCATACAGACTTTGTTATAAGCGCTTCTGAGTTAGGGTCAGACCCGTTGCAAGAGTCCGCAATTATTCAACTAAAATGATAATCCTACAATGCAAAACTTTCACCCATTTGTGTTCCATGTAAAACCAAAAGGTTGTGATCATTTTATGTATAAAAGTTGTGATTATTCCAGGACAACGTGATTTTATACTGTACATTTCTCTTCAGGCTCCTTCTTAGGTGAAAGACAATTAATCTGCACCTCTCGTTTGATGGCCCTCGAATTGCCAAGAAAAGAAAACCCTTCACATTTTGCTCAGTGTCACTCTCTCCTTCCCTCGTCCTCTGTCCTATACCCCCCCCCCCCACCCCACAGACCCCTTTCTACTCCTGCCGTCTTTCATTTAAATATTTCATCCAGTTGTCTCGTGGCTTCCACAGCTTGCCAAGTTTCATCTAGATCCCAGGGCCCGACACTAAAATGGAGAGCAGAAGTCATTTTTTTATAGGTGTATGTGTGCTTGTGTTTGTGTGTGCGTGTGTGTGTGTGTGGGTGTGAGAAAAAGAAAAGGGGCAGGACGAGAAGGAGACGGAGGTCTGAGACATCGGGCGGTGATGAGAAGCGAAAAGGTGGAGAAGACATGGGAGTGATAACTAATGTACTTCCTGTGTACTTCCTCCGCTCCCTTGTCAAAGCCCGCCCGCCCCCGACAACCACCCTTCCCTTCAGCCTAAAACATGGAACTGATGTGTGATGTATTGTGCGTGTGTGTCTGACTGACTGAGTGAGCCAATGTGTTTGTGAATCTTGACGTGTGATGTAAGGGATGTAGTTGGTACGTGAATGCAAAGATGTACATTTATGTGTCTGTCGGACAAACTGATGGCTGACGTAGATCGGCGTGTTTGTGCGCGTGTGTGAGATTATCTGATAGGTGATGTGCGAGTAAATTATTTTTATTTAATGTCATCACAAAACCTCATCATTTTGTTTAAAGGGTAAAACTTCAAAAAATGAACCTTCTTCATTTAGACAACAAATATATTATTCTATGTCGATATTATATATATATATATATTTATACTTATTTTTGCTTATTATCCTTCTTATTATGACATTTCTTTGTGAAATGGTAATCGGTATAATTGTATCAAGTACAAGACAAAAATGTAAAAACATGTGCAAAAGGTAAATAATGAAGTGCAATTGTTTTTTTATTTGGATTGTATATAAAAGTAAAATTAAGAAAAAATAAAATACGGTCTGGTTTCCCTTTCCTTAGTTCAAAACAATAGCCACAGTCAACCGGACACACCTTTTCCATGACAGTTCATTGGTAGTTCAGATCACACCGCCTCAAAATAACCGCCACAGTTGGGACTGAGTTATGTTCTGATATGTTCTATTAACATAACACAAGGAAAAGCAATTTTCTGTAAAGTTGACACAGTGTTTATAATCGTTTAATTTTTTTTTTCATTTACCTCACACACACACAAAGACATACTTGTGTGTCTTTGTTGTGCGTAGCGCTTCAGTTCTGCTCGCCGGGCAGCTCACTGACCCCCACATTCGAGTTTGACCTTTCAACCCTGGGAGAAAGGTCCCCTGCCACTCTGTATATCCAAACACACACACACACACAGGGATCTGTCCTTTGAGAGTGCGGATTAAGCCATGCAGGGCCAACGCCGGTCAGGCTTGTGGTCATCCGTGGTAACAGATAACAGGATATATCACTTCCTCAATCCCTAAAACCGCAAATGTGGGCTTCTGGAGACACACATACACACTGGTCACTGAGCTCCTGAGTCCCGCCGCTTAGCACTTGATCCTCTCTCTGGGAGGTTGACACTACAGAGGGAAAACCTTCACGTCCACACACACACACACACACACACACACAGACACGCACGCACACACTTGCTCAGACCCTTCACAGAACGTACTGTAGATCCCTGCGAGAGCTGAAACCCTTGGAAGGGGGGCAGCCCATTCATGGTGATCTGCTGGTCAGCATCTGTTTACTGTCGGGAGACGCTGCTCCCTATCCCCCCGACCGCCAGTCATCGCTTGCGCCTTTGAAAGTCCACATTTCGGCGTTTGAGGTGCAGGGGCGGCATCAGGAAAATGACAGTCCTTCGAGTCACTAAATATCCTCGAGCCTACTCGCTCTCCACAGAGGGGCAAATACTTTAACCCCCCCCCCCCAGCCCCCGAGGTATGTAGGGCATATTGTCCAGCAGTGAAGCGCTAATTCAGATGGGCGCGGAGCAGACGTGGATGTCAAGTCTGCTAGCATCTTCACAGGCGCCCAGGGGCGCATGACCGTCGGTTTGTAAGGGAGACGCCGCATTTAACACAGTAGCCTGTCTGTTTGTTCAAAGGCGTGGACAGGCATATGTATTCTGATCGACACAAGGTCAGGGCAAGGGTTTTTGTAGGGAGGGGAGGGGAGAGTAGAGGCAGCGAGGGAAGCATGTGCACACTTAGAAGTTCTCGCAGTTCAAGTGCATGACTGACTAAAAGCTCATTGTAACTGACAGATGTTTCTGTTTTCTGTTTTCATCAGCCCTCCGGCCTTTTGGACTTCCCAGTGTTCACTTTGAGTCAGATCTAGCTAAGCATATTATGGAAAAAACGTTGCATGTGTCTGGACTGACCTCGTAGTTTTAGTTTGATGCCTACGAAGCCTGTCATCTAACCAACTGCGACTACACCATAGAATGTATATAAGAAGTGGACGTTGTCATGGTGACATCACCTATTGGTTTTTGGACTGATGCTATGAAGCATCGAGTTCAACATCTTTGAATACGGCCACATTTTGAATCATCAACGGATGAATGGAAGTGACTATATTTAGGATGCTGAGGAGGGACATAGAGATGCTTCATACG